TGCCTGTGATCTCAGTGTGCAGGCGGTGGAGGCAGGAGTGTGACTTTGAGGTCAGCTTAGGCTACCTGAAAGCCTATCTCTAAGAAGTCAAAAAATTAAAATAAAAATAGAAGGCCAGGTGTGGTGGGAGGCACAGGCCTTTAATACCAGCACTCAGGAGACTGAGGCAGGTGGATCTCTGTGAGTTCAAGGCCAGCCTGGATACATAGCGAGTTCCAGGCCATCTGGGGCTACAGAAAGACCCTAACTCAAAAAAACAAAACAAAAAAATGAATTCAAGGCCATCCTCATACATAAACAGTTTGAGGCCAACCTGGACACACTCTCTAGATCTAGATGAGATAGATATAGATAGATAGATAGATAGATAGATAGATAGATAGATAGATAGATAGATAGATAGATGATAGATAGATAGATATAAAAGATGCTATCTTTAAGAAATAACTAGCTGGGGGTGCTGGCGTGGGCATGCTGGCAGAGGCCTGTGGATCTCTGTGAGTTCAAGGTCAGCCTGGTCTACATAGTGAGTTCTAGGCCAGCTGGGATACAGGGAGACCCTGCCTCAAAAAAAACAAAACAAACAAGAATAATTAATTAACCAACAACAACCAAAACACCAAAACAAAAACCCTCAAGAACCATATAAGTCCTTTGCTCTTTTTTGGGGGGGGGGTCTTTTTGAAACAGGGTCTCCCCTGTAGCCCCAGCTGGCCTGGAACTCACTATGTAGATGAGGCTGGCCTTGAACTCACAGAGATACGCCTGCCTCTGCCTCCCAAGTGCTGGGACTACAGGCATGCATCACCACACCCAGCCCTTTCCTCATTTTTCAAATGGAATTACTTGAGGGTTTTTTTTTCCCCGTTACTAAATCATAATAGAGTTCCTTATGTATTTTGGGTTTAAATCTCTAGTGTGTATGTAACTTCTCTTGTTCTGTGGGTTGCCTTTCTCTTTGCCCATTATTCCTCTGCTGTGTAGAATCTTATCTTGACACAGTCCCACTTCATTGGCTTTGTGGTCTGTGCTTTTGGTGTCACTCCAAAAAGTCATTACCAAGACCAACACCACAGAGCTTTTCTCCTGTTGTTTTCTAAGAATTGTACAGCTCCAGGTCTCTCTCTCCATGTGTGTGTGTGAGCGCACACACGCGTGTGTGTGTTATGCATGTGAGTATGTAGGTTTGCGGGCCTGTGCATGCTCATGTAGAGATCAGAGAAGGATGTCAGGTGTCTTCCTCTGTCACTCTCTGCCTCATTGCCTTGAGTCAGGGTTGTTCACTAAATTGAAAGCTTGACATTTCCATTAGGCCGGCTGGCCAGTGAGCTTTCAGAATATGCTTATCTCTGGTTCCCAATACTTGGGTTGCAGGCACACACACCATGGGCATACACAGCCATGAGCTCAGTTTTTATGTGGGTTCTTGGGGGTTGAACTCAGGCCCTCATGCTTGCAGAACAAATGTTCTTACCCACTGAACCATCTCCCCAATTCCCAAGTCTTACATTTAAATATTTTTAGCCATTTTTAGTTGATTTTTATGTATGGTATTAAGATGAAGACCCAATTCTCCCCGCAACCCCAACATAGTTATCTCACTTCCTCACTTATTTAAGAGACTGGCTCTTTCTCCATTGCAGATTCTTGACACTTTTGTCAAAGATTAGTTACATTACATGTGTGAATTTATTTCTGGACTTTCTATTCCAGAGCACTGGTGTCATGGTTGGCTTCAGTTGTCAACTTGGAAGAGGCTGACACACCTGAGAAGAGGGAACCTCAACTGGGAAATTTCCTCTATTGGACTGGCCCATGGGCATGCCCGGGAGGCATTTTCTGGATTGTTGAGTGATGTGGGAGGGCCCAGTCAACTGTGGGTGGTGCCTCTCCTGGGCAGGTGGTCCTGGGTTTTATAAGAAAGAAGGCTAAAAACAGGCCAGAGGAGCAAGTCAGTAAGCAGCGTTTCTCCATGATCTCTGCTTTAGTTCCTGCCTCCAGGTTCCTGTCCTGGCTTTCCTCAGAGATGAACTGTGATAGGGACATGTAAGCCTTTCTGCCCCAAGTTCATTTTTGTCAGTGTTTTACCACTGCAACAGAAACCAGACTAGGCCAACTGGTCTATCTATATGTCTGTTTTATGCTAATGCCACACTATTTTAATTACTAGTTTTGTAATATAATTTAAAAATCAGGTGGTGTGATGCCACCAGCTTTGCTCTTCTTGCTGAGACTGCCTTAGCAATTCAGGGTCTTTTATGAATCCATGTAAGTTTTAGCATTCCCCCCGCCCCGCCCAGCCCAA